AGAGTTGTTTAATCCTGAGCCAAACCAGGAGTGAATAGCTAGTCAAGGTCCTCCCTCACAGGTCTCCCAACTCGAAAGGAACACCAAGGGTCCTGCACAGTTGAACTTGTCTGACTGAGCCTGGTACATCAATCTAAAGGGCAGTCCAGGCCCTCTGGAAGCCTTCCTCCTCCCCAGTCCAGAGCCCAACTCACCCAACTCAGACAGCTCGTGTGAATCGGAGAAGCGACCTGGGGAAGAAAGTACAGGAGGCGTTGGTGAGCGTTTGTTTCACCCTGCAGCTTTGGGTCCCTCAACTTCCTATATGCCACAGGAACTCAAACACAGTGACCACTACCCTGAGTCCGCAGAGAGAGGGCCTTAGGAGTCATGGGTCAGGGGCCCGAAGAAATGGGTCAAAGGTCAGTGTGGCACCTGCCAGCAGGTAACTGAGGCCCCGCACTGCAGTCTCCAGCTGGGCCGTGGCGGCTGGGTGACGAGTCACGTACTCCTGGTAGCGGAGGCCCAGAAGCCGCAGCTTTTCCATCCTGCTCCAGCTACATACAGTTCCACCGGCCGACAGCACAGGTGGCGCGGCGCCCTGTGTCCTGCGCCCTCCTTCCTGCTTCCGGCCCTAAGCCCGCCTCCCAGTCGCTCCACTTCCGCAGCCCAGGGCTAGCTAGACGCCCGTTCACCCCATCTCTAGCACCTCCTCCTAGTGACCGTGAGCGCCCACCCTTCCTCCTTCCAACCATTGGCTCCCTCACTCTCCGCCCCGAAGCTCCTAGAGCCTCTGGCTTCCACTCTTCAGCCTTCTTGGTTGGCTGTTTTGGCGCCTGCGCAGTTGCAGCTTGGCTGCAGGCTGAACAGTTCATTCTAGAGAAGGGACCACGAAGTCTCAGACTTTCCCAGAAGATCGCCGAGAGGCTCGAGCGGGAGGGCAGGACAGCAAAGTACTTGGGATTTAAGGCGCAAGGAACCTCGAAACTGTCGTAAATGGGTCTCAGCAACCGCCAGTTTCCAGTTCCCCACAAAAGCCAGTGCTGGGGAAACTGAGGCAAACCTAGCCAGCAGATTTAGTGCCGTGGCTTCGGCTCCAGCTTCTCCTGGGTGGACCCCCAAAAGCCGTAGCCGGATGACTACTTTGGTGGAGAATACCCTGGCCTAGCCTTCTGCTCTCCACTTAGGATGAACCTGTGCATACACTTCCCTTATCTGCACCTCAATTTCCCATCTACAAAATTATTTGGGGCCGACTTGGACCTTGAACTCGGAACGAATGTCAGCGTTTTCTGGCCCTTGGATGTATCTCCTGGCTCTCAGCTAAGCCCCAAGGGTTGGGGGGTAACACCTAGGGATCCACTCCTGAACCCAGCAACAAAGCTGCTCGTGTCAAGGCGCTGCAGAAGTGGAGGGAGGGAACGGCTCTGGGGAGGCAGCTGATTGGCTGTGGGCAGAGGGGGCGTGGCAACTCTGCGCCATTGTGGACTCCGCCCGGGAATTTATGGTATCCGTTGAGTATGTAATGTGTTTGTTTAGTACCATACCGGGTATTATCTTCCCAATAAGCCCATCCAGTATATCACAAGCATGTACGGAAATGTCATCATGAAGTTCATGATTTTGGTTGGTTTGTTTTGAGACAAGGTCTCACAATGTACCCTTGTTTGGCTGGCCTCAAATTCACAGAGATCTGCCTATTTCGGCTTCCTAAATGCTGGGATTTTTAAAGACCCGTGCCATCATGATAGACGAAGCTCATTGTTTTGTACAATTAATAAACACAAATAAAAATGTTCATAAAGGAGCTAGAGAGATGGCTCAGGGTTTAAGAAATGCTCACTTAAGAATCTTTTAAATGCAGGGTGGTGGCCGTGCATGCCTTCGATACCGGCACTCGGGAGGCAGAGGCCAGTCTGGTCTACAGAGCGAGTTCCAAGGCAGCCAAGGCTGTTATACGAAGAAACTCAGTCTCGAAAAACAAAAAACAAAGACAATTTAAATAAAAAAATTAAAAAAAGCTGGGTGTGGTACTGGATAGAGGGCTTGGAGTAAAAGAGCGCTTGTTCTTGCAGAGGACTTGGGTTTGGTCCCCAGCACCCACATGGTGGCTCATAACCATCTGTAATTCCAGTTTTAGAGGATTCGATACCTTCTTATGATCTCTGTAAGCACATGGCAGGCACACATGTGGGTGTACAGAAAGACATGCAGACCAAAGTCATATACATAAAATGCAGTAAGTCCTAAAATAAAGCGCTGATCATGGTGGCACATTCCTGTAAGGAATTCCAGCACTGGGGAGGCAGAGTCAAGAGGATCACTGCAAGTACAAAACAAGCCTTGCCCGTGGAGTGAGTTTTAGGTTAGCCTTAGCTAGAGTAAGACTTCGTTTTAAAAAATTAAACTAAAATCATTTTTTTTTAAAAAAAAAAGTGCCTACTGGGCTGGAGAGATGGCTCAGAGGTTGAGAGCATTGGCTGACTGCTTTTCCAGAGGTCCTGGGTTCAATTCCCAGCAACCACCTGGTGGCTCACAACCATCTGTAATGAGATCTGATGCCCTCTTCTGGTGTGCAGGCAAACATGCTGTATATATAACAAATAAATCGTTTTTAAAAGAGTGCGTACTATGTCTAGTCCTGATTGGAATGCTGCTTTAGTCTGAGCCGGAGCTGGACTCTGTGGTGCTTTAAGCACCGCACTCACCAGGAAGCCACAGCCATGCCCACTTCCTTCCTTTTCTTTGTCTATGTGGAGCCAATGCCTGCCAACAAAAACTCAGGGAGAGGTGCTCTGAGCCTCAGAAGAGTCCGTGGTACGGGCACCGTGGAAGTGGTTCCTCATCCACCCCGAGTGCCCCACATACTCCTTGCCCTGCCGGCGGTTTCGCTGGTCCATCTTCAGTGTCCACTTGGTGGGTTTAGAATCATGTAGAAACAAACTTCTGAGTGTGTCCATGGTGTGCCTGCAGTTGAGAGAACCCAGCCTGGATGCTTGTCTCCTCCTTCTCTGTGTTGGAGTCCTGAACTGAATAAAAGAGAAAGCAACCTGGGCACCAGCCTGCATCTTTCTCCGTCTCCTGACTGTGGATTACAGCTTGGCCGGCAACCTCAGGCTTCCGAAACCACTGCTGCCCACTATGATGGATTATACCCTCAAGCTGTGAGCCCAAATAAATCCCCCCTTAAGCTTGCTTCTGCCAAGGGTTGATTTTGTCACAGTTGTGAGAAAAGCAACTAATACATCAGCCTCGTCAGATTGATAGGAACGCTTGCCCACAGATGAGGCCCAAGGAAGCCCGACTACTTGTCCCAGATAGCACGGCGAGGCCCTGACCAAAAGGCCTTTGGCAGCACTGTCTAGCTCAGCATGAGCTGAGACATGATGAGACAGGCCTGGCTAAAATCTAGGCTCAGGAATTCAGTGACTTTACTGCCTTTTGGGCCATTCCTGCTCTCACTCTGCTGCAGCTGGAGTGAGCTTATGTGTGTGTGTGTTTGTACTTGTGTGTACAAGCAGGTGAATACAGGTGTGCAAGATTTTATCAGATGGTCTTTTGTTCTGGGGAGGAAGGAGAGGCCCTGAGGACGGTGGTACACCACCTCCCCTTCACTTCCAGATGGTGAAGGGTCTTTCTCTCCAGTGCAGGGGGCTGGGCCCTGCCAGGCCAGCAGCTGGCAGGGATGCCTGAATTTCCTCTCTAGATCCGGAGCCTGATTAGAGTCAAGGCCTGTGCAAGCTTGGCAGCCGGGAAGGAGGGTCCTCCCTGCTGGGTTCCTGCTTGGACCTGGCTGCAAGGCTGGGCTGCAAAGGCCTCTGGAGAAATTGGTCTGGATCCTCTCTCCTTTTGTCTGTCCCAAGTCACAGGAGAAGAAAGACCAGTTGGACAGGCACAGATGAGGACACCAGAGACCCAGGGAGGGTGTTGGACAGGCACAGATGAGGACACCAGAGACCCAGGGAGGGTGTTGGACAATCCAAGTTCACAAAATAAAGTCCTGAGCAGATCTGGCTCAAATGGAGGCTCAGCTCCAGGGGACTAGACTCACTTTTGTCTCGCTTTCCTCTGAAGGCTCCAGAGGGCTTCTTGAGGGTTCAACAGACACTTCCGTTCATTTCCCTACCCACAGTGCTGAGGCTGAGACAGGGTCACCATGATGAGAGACGACAATGTGTCCACTAACTCACACCTCTTTTTGGAAGACTTAGCTTGGTCTAGGCTCTGCCTGTGACCCTATCTGCTCCTACACACTTGGAGCTCCTACAGCCTCTCTGTTGAGGGTTATGGGGAGGGACCCTTCCACCTCCCACCCCCCACCCCGAACTTCATTCTAGGCTGACAATGAGGTCGAAGCACTGGAATTCAAAGCCTGGACACAAGAGTTTTCTCTTAATGCCTACATGTATAAGAGGCAGTTTTCGGTTTCTATAGCAACCTCCAAAGGCCCACAGGCTGATCCCCAATCCCCCAGAGAAAAGCATTCCGATAACCTAGGGGAGGAGCCAGCCCCAGGCTGCTGTTTATGGGTCTGCCTCATTTTAGACAGCTGATCTTGAACCAAAGATCCAGCCTGTGCTCCTGGTGAGGCCTAGTGGAGTCCTTGGAGGGCAGGTCCAGTTTTTGTACAAACTGAATACCTGGAATTGGGGGGGGGGGAGTGTGACCCACAGAACAGGCAACTTCAGCTTCCCTTGAGCTGTCAAGTTAAGCAAGAGACATGGAGAGATCCACATTCCGGAGGAAGGAGGGGCAGGGGCAGTCCTGAGGTAAACGACCCCGGAGGGAAGACTGAGAAAGCAGTCACCTCTGGGAGTCCCTGCAGGCCCAGTTTAGGGCTGCCTGCCACAGCCAATGGCCGAAGGCTGCAGGTTCCAGTCACTCTCAGGGACAATCTCCTCTTGTGTCCTCGGGGCGGTGTGAGGATTAACTGAGTGAAGGCTTGGCAAATACTTGGCTCAGGGCCTGGCACTCAGGACGTGTTCAACCGACCATGGCAGGTCTCTTTCACAGCCCAGAGCTCCCCGCACCCCTATAGGGCCAGAGGCCTGCTGAAGGGTGGAGGAGGGAAGAGGAAGGGATCCAGGCCTTGGAGCCTGGCACGATCAACGCGCTCCAGGCAAGGGCAGGGGAACTCACGGCCCTGCCCAGGCGGCATTGAGGCCCTCTGCCAGCTCTTGTGCAGGAGGGGAGGCGACCTTCAAAAGGGCGCAGTGCCCATGTTTTCCAGTCCGCTGCTGGGCCAGGCTGGTCCACCTGGACTAAGGGCCAGGGAGGACGCTCAGGCTACAGGTGTCCCTAGCAGGCCCAGCCTCCAGTCCCTGACCTGAGCAGGTGTCTCCGGACATTCCTATTACTCTCCCCGCCCCCTCCTCCGCCTGGACTCCCGTGGTGACCGGGCCAATCCTTTGATCCTGAGCTCCCGGTCATGGGTCCTTCCCCTTAGGGGGAGAGATGGGGTCCCAGAGCCAGGAGGGTTCAGGTAGCGGGCACAGGGCCATCCTGGATAGCTGTCCCAGTGGCCTTCAGCTCTCCCGTGCCTTGGTGCAAAAGAGGGTTATAGGTTCTTTGCCGTTTTCGGAGCTGTCCCGTACGGGGGCAAGGGCGGAACCCTGCCAGGGTCTCCCCGCCCCTTCCAGTCCAGACAAGCGAAGGTGAAACCTGAGCCCAGGTTGGGGGCGGGGCTGACTCGCAGCTCTGCCCCGGTCCCCGCTACCGGGCGGTCGCAAGAGGAACAAGGCCTTCTTGGAGCCTCTGGAGCAGGTGAGACAGGCGGCTATGCCCGGGCAGGGAGAGCAGCCGTCGGGCCCCCGCAACCCAGCGCTGACCCTCCTCTGGTCTTGGTCCACAGGGTCCGTGATGGAGCCCGCTGCCCGGGGTCGCCCCCCGCCCTGAGTCCCTCAGACAGCCATGCTGCCCCGAGGGCGCCCCCGGGCACTGGGGGCCGCCACGCTGCTGCTGCTGCTGGTGGTAGTGGTTGGCTTCTTCCTGTTCGGCCGGGACCCCGAGTGTGAGCGCCGAGAGCTGGGCAGGCGAGGTGGGGACCTAGTGTGCCCTCTGCCTGCTCATGCCACGTGTCCTTTCAGACGGACTACAGGCAACTGCCACCCTCGATGGAGACCTATACGGGAGCCGCAATCGCTCCACCTCCGATCTGCAGCCTCTACTGCCACCCAAGTGCGAGGTAGGTGCGCGTGGCCTCTGGTGGCTGCCACCCCCAGGGTTCCTGGCCCCAGCCCAGCCATCTGGGCATCTACAAGAATCAAAGCACCTGACATCTGGCCACCAAGCTGGGACACCTGAGGACGCCCCTTCACTCTTCAGTTTCTCCACTTGTGAAATTGAGGTGGTGCCTCTAAGCAACCCTTTCCCCAGTTCCGATGTCTGGTGGGGGATACACTGTTCTAGACCAGGCTGGCTCCGCTGACCGGTAGACGTTGGGGACCGCTTCTGACCTAGGTGTTCCCTCCCAGCTGTTGCATGTGGCCATTGTGTGTGCCGGACACAACTCCAGCCGAGAGGTCATCACCCTTGTGAAGTCCGTGCTATTCTACAGGTACAGACAGGCCACCTGGACGAGGGTCAGGAGCCCACCCACAACGAAACAATCCACACCACTCTTCTGTTTCCTCATCCCAGGAAACTGAAGTCCCCTTCCTGAGGGTGGTGCGGGCAGGCTGGAGGCAGGGTATCAGAACACCCTCAGGAACTCCTTGTAGGAGACACGGCCTCCTCCTGTGGAGAGAATCCTTTGTTGTTCCTGCACAGCCTTACGTTGACTCTTTCCACCCAAAAGGAAAAATCCACTGCACCTCCACCTGGTAACTGATGCTGTAGCCAGAAGCATCCTGGAGACACTCTTCCGAACATGGATGGTGCCAGCTGTGACCATCAGATTCTATGACGCTGAAGAGCTCAAGGCAGGAGTCCGCTCCCCGCCCCCCTGTCACCCTACTCCTGCCCAGCTAGGCCCATTCTCTCTCTCTTTTTTTTTTGGTTTTTTCGAGACAAGGTTTCTCTGTGGTTTTGGAGCCTGTCCTGGAACTAGCTCTTGTAGACCAGGCTGGTCTCGAACTCACAGAGATCCGCCTGCCTCTGCCTCCCGAGTGCTGGGATTACAGGCGTGGGCCACCACCGCCCGGCTCTCTTTACTCCCACTGTGCCCCTGAGTATGTCCGTCCCCTTGTCGTTCCTCCCCATCCCTGCAGCCGCTGATCTCCTGGATACCCAATAAGCACTACTCTGGTCTCTATGGGCTAATGAAGTTAGTGCTTCCCAGCATCCTGCCTCTCAGCCTGGCCCGAGTGGTTGTTCTGGACACTGACGTCACTTTCTCCTCCGATATTGCCGAGCTGTGGGCACTCTTCGCTCACTTTTCCGGTGAGGCGCCTGCAACCCTGCCCTGGCCTGCCCCCTCCCTGACCTGCCCAGGCCCCTGTTGTGTACTAGTCCTGAGCCATGTCCCGAGGCAGCTCCCTCCTGCTCTCCCCTCCCAGACAAGCAGGTGATCGGTCTCGTGGAGAACCAGAGCGACTGGTACCTGGGCAACCTCTGGAAGAACCATAAGCCTTGGCCTGCCTTGGGCAGGGGATTTAACACAGGTGGGGGCAGTGGTGAGGGAAACAGGGTAGGGTGGGCTGCTGAGCCTCAGTGGTGGAAGGGCACAGACTGCTAGGAAGCCCCCAAGACCTCCGCCGGTGCTGTGGACGGGACACTGGATGAAGAGAACCCTCCCACTTTGCGTGCTTGTACCAAATGACTGTGGCCAACAAGACTCTGCTTTCTGGTCTATATCATGGTCTATATCAGCTGTGAGAGGATGGCTGGGAGGGGCTCTACTCCTCCTCTACCCAAGGGAATTATGGGTGACTATGTCAGAACCCTCAGAAAACACAGTCCCGTGTTAGCAATTTGGACATGTTCTGAGAGATTTGCCATTAGGCAATTTCATTGCTATACAAACACCAGGGGGTGTATTTACACACACAGATGGAGTAGCTCACTCTTCTCGAGGCTGTGGTGTGGTCTGGGAAGGACAGGCACTTTACTGAACTGAGTGCTTAGTGACAGGCAGGCAACTGTAGTACAATGGCGAGCATTTGTATAGCTGAGAATGGAAGAAGCATAGGAAAAATACTAGGTTGTAGCTTAGTTTTTACTAGGATTCATGCAATCCAGTCTGGCTTTGAACTCATGTATGTGAGGATGATCCTCCTGCCTCTATCTCCCTGGTGCTAGGATTACAGATATATGCTACCTGGTTTATGCCATACTGGGCTCTAAACCAGGGTTTCGCGTGCGATAGGCAAGCTCTACAACTGAGCCTCATACCTGGCCCAGGCGTTGACTTTGGCCTCACATCCTCATCCACCATGCATATGCATGCCTTCTGTTGCTGGCCAGATGGCCTGTACCAGGAAACCGTGCAGCCTGGCGTGGTGCTGCCTGTTGTTGCTGGTAATCCCAGGTTTTTGGGAGGCTGGGGCAGGAAGATCGCAAGTAAGAGACCAGTCTGAGAAGCTTAGTGAGACCCTATTTGAAAATTATAATTGTTTTGAAAATCTGTTTTATGTGTATCAGAGTTTTGTCTGTATGTATGTGTGTGCACCTCATGCATGCCTGACCCAGTGGATGTCAGAAGAGGCTATTCTAGCCTCTGAAACTGGAGTTAGGGGGGTTCTGAGTCACCATGTGGGTTCTGGCAATTGAATCTGCGTCCTCTCAAAAACAGCACGCTTCTTAAACATAGATCCATCTCTCCAGTCCCTCGAAATGAAATTCAAAGAGGGCCTGATAGATGATTGTCTTGGATGTATGAGGGTGTGGGCTCCCCGCGAGTATGGCAAAACAAATATTTCAAAAGCTTTGGGATCTGAATGTCCCTGGTGGGCATGGCAACCTCTCTCCTGGTTGGCAGGTGTGATCCTGCTGCAGCTGGACAGGCTCCGGCAATCTGGCTGGGAGCAGATGTGGAAGCTGATGGCCAAACGGGAGCTCCTTACTCTGCAGGCCACGTCTCTGGCTGACCAGGTCTGGAGGATTCTTTGTGGGAGCAGAGCTGAGGGGCAGGCTGGGGGCTGAGCTGTGATGTCTGTCACTGTGTAGGATGTTTTCAATGCTGTCATTAAGGAGCACCCTGAGCTGGTCCATCCCTGCCCTGTGTCTGAATGTGCAGTTGTCAGACCACACACTGGCCGAGCGCTGCTACTTGGAAGCAGCTGACCTCAAGGTGAGTGGGATGGCAGGGTGGGGGACTGTTGCTCCCTCCCCATTCTAAATCCCTGCTGCTCACCTGGAACACAGGTGATCCACTGGAATTCACAAAGAAGCTTCGCGTGAAGAACAAGCATGCAGAATTCTTCCGAAACCTGCACTTGACCTTCCTGGGATATGATGGGAAACTGCTGAGGAGAGAGCTCTTTGGCTGCCCCAGCCAGCTCCCTGCTGAAGCAGAGCAGGTGAGAGGGGCCATACCCCCTTGCTTTTGGGAGGTCTCGGCCCTCTGTACTCAAGTGGTCTTTGGCTGGAGGCCATGCTGTTCTGGACCAGCCTGCTCATTCTTTCCCTGGACCCTGCTCAGCTGCAACAGGCCATGGCACAGCTGGATGAGGAAGAGCCCTGCTTTGAGTTCCGGCAACAGCAGCTCACTGTGCATCGGGTGCACATCACCTTCCTGCCCCACCAGCTGCCACCTCCCCGGCCCCACGATGTTACCCTGGTGGCCCAGCTCTCTATGGACCGGTGAGGGTGTGGAGGGCAGATCCGGATAGCATGGCATAGGCTTAGATGGGATTTGAGAGACCCGAGGGGTGTGGTAGTAAGCTACTGGTCCCTGGAAGAGCCCCAGAGGTTGGAGACATTGGATATGATGGGAAAAGCTTGGGCTTTGGAAGTCTTTCTAGCACCTGGAGCTGTCCCTCAGTGCTGGGGAACATGAATAAGCCTCAGCATTTCAGGCGGCTGTCAATGTGGATGCACCCCCTCTCGGGGTTGTTGTAAGGATTAAAAGAGACCAGCTCTATGTGATTATGAGGTGCTTAGTCACACGAGGGGGCTCTGCAGCAGCTAACTTTGGGGAGGATATCTTGCCATCCTGTGCTTCTGCGCATGAGGGGCCTGAGCAGGGCTGGAAGCCCTATGCAGGCACTGGCCTGACAACCCCCCTCACCCCAGGCTGCAGATGCTGGAAGCCCTGTGCTGGCACTGGCCTGACCACCCCCCTCACCCCAGGCTGCAGATGCTGGAAGCCCTGTGCAGGCACTGGCCAGGCCCCATGAGCCTGGCCTTGTACCTGACAGATGCCGAGGCTCAGCAGTTCCTGCATTTCGTGGAGACTTCGCCAGTTCTCTC